ATACGAATCGTTCGATGTATTTCTTTTTTCTTTTTTTCTTTTCTTTTTTTTTCTTTTATGCAGAATTCACTGTCGCATTAAAAAAAATAAAAAAAAAAAAAAAAAAAAAAAAAAAAAAAAAAAAAAAAAAAAAAAAAAAAAAAAAAAAATTCGATCTTTTATAACCATTAGAGTCGTCGATCTAATCCCTCCTTCACATCCCCCATCCCCCCGCTCCCACCCCAATCCCTACTACCCTTCAATCCTTCATTTTAAATGAAGTTAAGAAAGAGAGAGTATAATAGAGAAAAAAGGAGAAAGACAGTCGTCGTTATGCCTGAAGGCAAATTTCTTTTCTCTCTCTCTCTCTCTCTTTCTTATATATAAACACACACACAGGCACATACAAATAAACACACACACACATATATATATATACGATTTCCTATATCCGGCAGCCTTTTTGTTACTTCCTTATAGGCCTCGGGCACATTTTCTTGCTCGAAAGCGAGTGTTTATAGAAAGGAAACAAGAAATTATAAGGAGGGCGTTTCTTTTCGTTACGAACTTAACTTCGTTAAGATCTTTTCAAGTTGCCTAAGGCTCAACGAAAGCTTATCTACTTCGATATATATATATATATCTTCGTTTTTATTTATTCGCGCCATTTTATTATCTTTAACCCTTACAATATAATAGGACTTCGATCACTGAAATGAAATTTCTAAGATCGAAACTTCGTAACGTAAGTTGTACTCTTTTTTTTTTTTTCTTTTTTTTTTTTCATTTTTATTCAACCTCTCAGAACAGATTTTGTCGGAGGTAGGTTTTTAAATATTGAAATTTTGAAAAAAAGAATTTGACGTATATAATAAAAAAATGTGTTAATAATAGTTTTTCCTCTTTTATAATTATCACAAAATTATGTATGTTATTTTATCTCGTTACCTATTCAATTTTTCTTTCGAAATTTGGCAAATTGAAAATTTTCCGTTGTAAATATTCGCAATATATATCGCAATTTTGGCCGTGCGACGTTTCTTTTTTTCTTTTTTTTTTCTTTCTTTCTTTCTCTCTTTCTCTCTCTTCATTACCTTTTCTTCGTTCTTTATCATCTCTCTTATCTAATTTTGTATTTTTTATAATCACTCGAAGTCGTATCTTTCCTTTGGATTTTCATTACCAATTTTTTCTTTTCTTTTCTTTTTTTCTTCTTTTCTCTTCTTTTCTTTTTTCGTTTTCTTCCCATTTTTCTTCGGAGTAAAAAATAAACAAATTTGTCCACTTGCAAATTTCGCCAAATTGTTTCTATTATAAATGAAAATTTCAAATCTCTATAATTCCGTGTACGATGATTGAGTCTCTCTCGAGAGAGGGGACTGGTGGTGGGAGGGGGGGGGGAGGGAAAATACATTTCTACATTTCCATTCAGCTTTTAGACGTTTCATAATATTTCACTATAATGGCGGACCGAGGCAATTAATGTTTCACGATGTTGAAGATTATATGTCTTTGAAACGTAACGAATGACTTTACGCCATTTTGTATAAAAGTTTCTTTGACTTTAAAAGAAAAAAAAAAAATAAAATGAGAAAAAGAAAAAGAGAAAATAAAAGAAAGAAAAATGAAATAAAAAAAAAAAACAAAGAGAGAAATTTGAACGACGAAATTGAACGTTTACATTTTTACATCTCGAAAAGCAAACAAAAAAAGAAATATATATATATATATATATATATATATATATATATATATATATATATATATATACACGTATGTATATTCATTCAGTAAATAATTATTTTTGAAAAAGTTCGATAAAGTTACGTTTATTTCTCTTTCTACGCTTCAGGGTGATATCAATCCCCTCTTTAATGATCGATGATGATTTGTAACTGTTAATCATTTCTTCACTATGGGTTGACTGTTGGAAAAGGGTAACGTGGGCGTAACCGCAATGGATTAAATTTTCTCCTTTTATAGGGTCTTTCTCTCTCTCTCTCTCTCTCTCTCTCTCTCTCGATAGAATACGATGGTATATATATATATATATATATATATATATATATCGTTGTAAGAGAGATATAGTGAGTGCAGGATCACCCATCTCTCACTTTTCAACGAAATGGGCCATCAACGTGGACCGAGTCATCTACGTTAACGTAACGGCTAAAATCAATGGGTGTAGAGCAATCAATTATCTCTAATTGAAATTAGCCAGGACGACATGCGTGTCTGGTATCCGGATGCCTAGTTAGTTTGGAGCATTTCATTGTCGAATAGTACGATTGGTTACGTTACTAGATTTTCGAGGATAAAGACTATTGGGAAATCGATTAGTATCGGTTCGAATGTTCATGGCCTTTTCATCTCTCTTAAATCGTTCGTTCGATACGGATTACGGATTACATAGCTATATATATATATATATATATATATATATATATATATATATACATACATATATAAACATAGATATATTTTTATGTCGTGTGTCGTATCTAATAATGAATATATATATGTATATCTAATCGATCGTTGCTTTTAAAAATTTAGATTAAAGTTTTATGTTCTCTCTCTCTCTTTCTCCCCTTTAAAAATAAATAAATAAATATATATATATATATATATATATATATATATATATATATAAAGTTGTGGATCATATTAACGTGTGAATAAACTAGTAAGATTTAATACAAATACATATGTATATAAAGATATATAAATATAAATATAAATATAAATATATATATATATCTACACAAATGAACACACATACACACAAACATATACATACACATATACACATATATATGTATATATATATAAATATGCTATTTGTATATACATTGTGGGAAACATGGACAGTTGCACATTGGAATTAACTCGCACTCAATCGCATTAATATGGCTATAAACACACACACACATATATATACACAAACAAACACACACACATATATATATACATATGTATATATACATGTATGTGTATGTGTCTCGTGGCTCGAGGGGATATAAGCCAACAAACGATTTAAGGGAAAAGGATTGGATATTGGTCAGCCGGGTGAACCAATCGAAAACACAGGATTTCTCTATTGGTGTGTAACGTCGAGATGAATAACTCTCTACTTATGGCTATATAATGTTTGCCACCGTATGCGGACCAAATTCCCCATATGTTCCATATGGTACACAATCTATATATGTACATATAAACACTTTCATATATAGATTTTTAACCTATGTACATATATATATATATATATATATATATATAAAAGAATAGCTGATTTCGATAGCTAACCACAATGAGATTTGTCTAATATTTTCTATTGACTCATCCTATTCTTATGGAAAATATTCATATTATTTATATATTTATTTGTTTGTTTGTTTGTTTGTTTTGTTTTGTTTTGTTTTGTTTTTATTTCTTCTTTTATATCTTGTTTTTATTTTTCTCGTAGAAATTCATCAATACCGACATACGTTTTTTTTTTTTTTTTTTTTTATTTACTTATTTCTGACATATCCGTATTATCCGAACGATAGTATCGAATTCTTATTATATTTTTGTTCGCTTTTTCTTTTTTATTATCAAAAAGAAATTCTTCCAAAGGAACAATTTTTGATCGAGAAAAGACACTGTACACTCGTTTAAATACACGAAGAACGACGAACGAATTCTATTAATACGATGTTGAGTTTTAATATGTTGCGAAAAATCGATATAAGTATATATATACGGTAATAAAGAGAAAAACGTGACGATCAAGTGATAAAGAATGTGTGAATGATAAAAAAAAAAAAAAGAAAAAAAAAGAAAAAAGGAATTATATTTCTTAGATATGCGAGTTATTTTGGAAATTATCACTGCATCCTTCGTTTTCGAATACATACTGATTTATATAGGAAAAAGAAAGAGACAAAAACGGTGACAAAGCTACACACACACACACACACATACATATATATATATATATATATATATATATATATATTAACTTTATATAGATATATCTCTTAAATGGAAACTATATGTAGCATAAATTTGATATTGTACGAAGATCCATGTATTCTCTTGCAGCTATTCGTAACTATATTTCAAATAGATGACTATATATATATATATATATATATATATATATATATATATATGTGTGTGTGTGTGTGTGTGTATATATATATTGGTAGCTCGTATATTACCTACTGTATGGGTACGTCGAGATCAAAGGAAGAAAAGTCGAAATTTGTAACACCAAAGTAAACTACAATTAATTATGGTCGGGCATTAGGAAGCAATATGTAAATGACGTATGTATAACAAATACGTTATTATACATTATTACAATATGAAAATAATTGGAATATAATATTTAATAAAAATAAAAATAATATTACAATATGAAAATAGAAAATCTTTCGGACGATTTAAATAGTGATAATCGTTAGAAGAATGAATGTTTCATCTTGACAAATTTAAAATGTAATAAAATAATTAATTTCGATTATATATTTATATTCATTAAATATATTTTATATTAATGAATATAATCGTAATGTTATAAATTATATAATTATTAATTAATATATAATGTATTTGTAAGTTTTGTTAAAATTTTTTTTTTTTTTTTCTATTAATCATTTATAAAAATAAATTAATTCTAATAATTATTATTTCTTATAATAATTATTCTTCTACTAATAATAATTATTTCTTTTATAAATTATTAATATACTTTTATATATATATATATATATATATATATATATATATGATTTGTTATTAATTATTAATTTTATTAGTTTATTATTAATACAATTGTATAGGTATAATTGTAATAGTTAATGAATTATTGTTATTTTTAATTATTATAACAAATATATGAATTTAATAAGAATAAATATATATTCGAATTAATTTTCAAAATCTTTCATATATAATAATAATAATAATAATAATAATAATAATAATAATAATAATAATAATAATAATAATAAAGATAAAATTATACTTACACATATGATAGAGAACCAAGTTGCTCTTGCTACCATTGTACTTTTGAAAGGCCCTATTCGTCGGTGCGAAAACGGTAACATGACGATACGTCAGTGTGTTATTCGCCA